GCTGTTGTCACTATTATGAGTCTGAGACCTAACTACTGAGAATCAAAAATTGCTCAATATGCTTTTTTCAATCTATCAGGAAGGAAAAAAATTGTCATTTGAGTCTGAAAATGACAAGAGTATAAACTGAACTCTCAGGGAGGTAGAAGTCACTGGAGAGAAGCTGAACAATTTATATCCTTTGTCCACTGTGGAAGATGGGTGTGATGACCATGAAGAGATGCCAGGTGCCCGCCAAGGCTGCTCTAGCTCAGCCCTCACCTGGACAGGGGAGAAAAAATATAACAAAAGGCTCACGAGATAAGGATAGGGGGAGATCACTCACCCATCACCATCATGGGCAAAAACTCCTCCCTGTCCTTCTGCACTGATCTTGATATCTGCAGAGTTTTTTCTCTCACATATTTTTGCTCCTCTCTGTGGCTGCACTTGTGCAGGGTTTGTGGTTTCCCCTTCCTAAATAAATGACTCCATAGGCATTACCACTATCACTGATGAGCTCAGTCTTGGCCAGTGCTGGGTCCATCTTGAAGTTGCTTGGCATTGACTCCATCAGACACAGGGGAAGTTTCTGGCAAATTGTCACGGAAGCAACCATTCCAGCCCTCCCCTTCTACCAAAACCTGGCCACTGAAACCCAACATGGATAAATCAGGAAAATTATCCTTCCGGGGTCCTTTTGGGGTGTTCAGGGAACTTGGCAGAGACTGCCTCTAAAACTGAAATAGGTGGGAGGGGTTATGGCACAAAAGACAGGTGAATGCAGATGAATCTCCAGAATTTGAAGGATTTACCCATGAATTCTAAGAAAACTCAGGGATGAAAGATCTACTAAAAGCAGCATGTCACATGTCTCTTCACTATTCCTCTGTACGTGAAAATCAGGTGTCAAATGTGATAGCGTTAAGAAAGGTTCAAGGGTATCCAGCAACTTAAAACTGAAATCTGTTTCCAGGAGAACAACTAGACATTGTAAGAGAGAGAAATAGTATCTACCTGAATAAATATGATCTTAACAGTGAGTGCTAATAAAGCTCTCAGAGTTCTTCTAAAGGGGTCAGAGATCTATAAATGAGGAGCATCTGAATGATACAGTCAACTCAGGTTTTTGAAAGCTATCTGACAGAACATTTTAATTAAGGCATTTTAGGAAAATCAAGCAACACAGAACTGTCACTGGTATAAGCAGGAAGATGATGAAAAAGATGAGCACATAAGATAGATCATCACTGCATGGAAGAAAATGGTCTGTTCTTGTACAGGTAGAATTCCATACTATTCTGTATATTCTTAAATGTCCCAAAGAAGGCAGATAATCAGCAAGGTGACAAGGCTTTGCTGGCTATAGGAGGTTATGCAAGGCAGTTCAGATGAGGAAGATTGCATAGCCTACAGAAAGATGAACAGTAGAGTGGTACATTTGGGGAAGAATAATCCTATCTTCACATCTTGGGTCATTTCTAAGCTGAGCCAAAGAAGTCTTCAGGAACAAAACCTTTGCATTATGATAGACAGTTCCATGAAAATATCACTTAGCAGTAGTAATTCCAGGGGGAAAAAAAAAAAGTTAGGAATTATTAAGAAGTAAATAGAGAACAGACCAGAAAGGTTTGTTTTGTTCAAGTCCATACGGTATTGTAAAAATCCAGGCTTCTGGTCCATTTCTCTAGGACAGGATATTCCAGAACTGAAATTATTTGGAGATGACCAAGGATGGTCAGACATATATTATGATTGCCATTACAACACACAAGGAAACCATCCATTGAATATCCAAGAATCATATTTGGAAAAACACATGACAGAGTGGGAAGGTAAGAAGGGGTTTGCAGAACTGAGAAGTCTGGAGAAAAGTAGAGTGAGATTGACTTTTCCCTGGCTCTTCTAATACAAGCCTTGAAGGAAGCCTATTGGAAGATAGTAGGATCTTCATTCAAAACAAACCAGAGGAACTAGTTCTTCAGACAGCCTATGTGGACATGTGGTGGTACTCCTCAAATGACTTTTTGGGTCAAGCAATTTGTAAAGAGGCAAGGAGAGACTGGAAAAAACTTTGGAAGAGATGCTGTAGAGTCCACTAAATAGAGAAATCCCATAATCTGACTTGAAAATGATTGAAGGCTGGGACTCTTTACACTCTTCTGTTTTTTCCTGAGTGTCCACTCCCATGGATACTGTGGGAGATGGAGCACGGTGCTAAATGGACCTGTGGTCTTAACCAGTAAGTTCATCTATAACCTCACTGTGCACTAAAGTCAGAATTTAAAAAAATGAAGTTGGTAACAGCTTAAATATATTTATGGCTTTCAAGCTCCCCAAGAAAATGTAATGTTATGAGAATTTAGGACCAGAAGGAACTTTAAGAACCTCATCCACCACTTTGTTCCATGGCAAAATGTCTTGGTTTGACAAGACAGGAGTCTGTGAAGGAGGGCAAAAGCCTCCTGTGCAATGGAGAAGGTAAACCCCCTCCCTCTGAATTACCAGGATTTTTAAATTAAAAGGCTCTCAGGCAAAGATATGGGAATGGGAGTAACAATTCTTTACTAGGAGAAAACTAGATAACAATTTAAAAAGGCAAATGCAATTGGTACAAACAAAACTAGTGATAAAGTCCACAACCTGACACCCTGAGGAGTCGGGGTGTTGGTAGCAGTCCAGTTGAAATGACAGCTGCTCCTCTTGCAGTGGCTGATGAATTGCAGCTGTAGTGGTGATCTTTAGAAGGGTATAGTTTTCTCTGAAGATCTGGTGGCAGTTGGGCCGGTCTTCCTCTGCGCCGGGGCCGCCTCCAAGCTCCCCCCACCGATGCCTCACCGTGCTCCGGCTGTTTCTCTGGGAATCCCGCCAAAGAGCGAGAGCTGCTCTGTCCCCCAAAAGGTACCCCCTTATACAATAAAAAGAGTGCTTGGCTTCCCCCTCTGGGTGGAGCATCTCACAATGGGATGGTGTTACGCTACCAGCCCTGCAGTGAGTCAGTCAATGGCCCATTAACAAACGATTACCTTTTAGGAGCAAACCATTGTTCTTGGAAGAGATAACAAACCTGCCCAACCTCCAACAGATGGCAAATAGAATACAAGCTTATCTTACAAACCAGGAAATTATCCACCCCTTATTCTATTTTCATCTGCACACCATGAAATCTTACACCCAGTTCTCACTTAAGACCAAGTTTTCCCTGTGGTACACAGTGGGTCTCCCCATCTTTCTGCATTACCCACCAAGTGTAACCAGGTCCTTGAGCAAAGACAATCCCACGAATGGGTTGGTCTTTGCCTGAGGTGGGATTAATCCAAACAGTTTTCCATAAAATGCCTTTCATATGTACTACAGGGACCTTATCTCCATCTACTGTGTGTAAGAGTTCTGACTGGGCAGGGCCAGCTCGATTGACAGACCCTTGGGTGTTGACCATCCAGGTTGCTTTTGCCAGGTTAATTTCCCAGTTTCTAAATGTTCCCCCACCAAGTGCCTTTAGGGTAGTCTTAAGGAGTCCGTTGCACCG